GAGGCAGGAGGATCACAACACAGTGAGACCCTGTCTGAAAAATGAAAACAACTGAAAATCCCACATTCTGGCAACTTCCCTCCCTCCCAGGCAAATGAGGACAGTGGGCCACCTTAGGAGGAACCAAACCAAGACAGTTGTGAGGTGTTAAACAAAGCAAACAGGGGACTGGCAGTTGGCATAATGGCTATGTCACTGGACTCCCATGTAGTCGACCGCAGTTCGAGTCCTGGACCTGGTGGCTTATACTCACACTGGGCACGTGTGTGTGTGTGTGCCCAAGATCCCGAGAGGAGAAAGGAGGGGAAGGGGTTCCCTGGGAGGCGGTGATTTCTTACTTTCTGTCTTTCTGTCTCTCTCTGTGTTTCTTACTTTCTGTCTTTCTGTCTCTCTCTGTGTTTCTGGTGGGAGCACACGTGCTATAGCAAAGATCCCCCCCCCCCAAAAAAATCCAAAAACAAAACAACACAAAGGAAACAGATCACTGAACCACTAGTTCAAAAGTCAAGTGTTATTGGCTTTGAGAACAAAAGGACAGACACCAGTATCTCTGTCATATCGTCAGGTTCAAGTTTTTATGAGCTCAAAGCCTATAAAGAACAGTAGCCACCAGTTACAGAGAAGCCATTCCCATGATAACAGACAATCACATAGTCTGGGCTGGGGTTTGCGAGGTGTCGGTGGACCACGGGCGTCCAGGACTTCCACACATCTACGTGATGGGCTATTGGGCACGAAGGCGGTTTATGTTTCAAGAACAAGGGCGTGTCACAGGCACTGTGGGGACATTATGGGTGAGTGGGCCAAGGGACAGGCAGCACGTTGTAGGCACTTGAGGCTCTGACAAAAACAAGCACCGGCCATGCCACTTGAGCCAAAGCCACCTGGGCGAATAGTGACACTGTACCACGGGTGTCGCCACAGCCAGCTGCACTGAGACAAGGCGCTTTGCCTTAGAAGCGGCTGTAAGCTCAAGACAGCTGGCCCTGAGCCAAGGAAACTGGCAGCATGAACAGGAGAAATCCCCGTCAGGTAACCCGGGGAGACAGTGCTGTTGTGAGGCTAGAGTCAGAGGGCTGGGGGTGGGGGTGGGGGTGGGGACACCAGAGGAGGGGACCCTGGGCCTGGCCAGGAGCTCCTGCCAGGGCCCCTGACCTCAGGACAGATCTCTGAGAATCAGATTATCCAGCTGCAAAATGCCACGCACGCCCCTGCCCTGGTTATTTTTACACCGGCATTGTGGAATGCGCTATGTTACAGCTGAAGGATGCGCCCCTTTCTTTGTTGTCTTTTCTAGTTCCTGCTAGATTGGTGAGGGGGAAAAATCTTCCAAGAGCCGTGGCCATAAAGACATGCCTCATTCCTGCAATGAAGACATACCCTGCCTTTTGCTTCCTGGGGCACGGAGGTGTGAGATGCATCTGTCTGGGCCCACCTGGAGATGTTGCGGATGCAGCTAGTGAGAGGGTGGTATTGGGACCCCCAGCGGCTCCAGCCAGGCGGGGGAATGGGCGGGGGTGGGGCAGGCGGCACACAGATGGGGCAGACCCCTTTTCTCACGCTCTCTTATTGAGAGTCCCTGACAATAAAGAGAGAAGAGAACAGTAGCCGAGAGGAGGAGAAAACTTTGTCCTCAGATAAGGCTAGGGACCAGCAGGGACAAGTTGGGATTTAGAAGGAACCTCCAGAAACCTTTCCTGACAATGGCTAAGAGGGAGGAGGAGGGACTCTTGCTTTTCTAGACATCTGAGGCACAGGTGAAAACCCTGTGAGGAGCTAGTCTTGGCCACTCCATTCATCAGTCATAGCAGGTGCCAGCGCAGGCCGGTGGGGGACAGCAGATGGCACTCTGCCCACAGCAGGTCAGAGAACTGCTGTGGAAACACAGGTGCAGGCTGGAAACCGAGGCCACGTATTTGTCAGTCCAGTGAGACTCTGCCTAAGTGGGGGCCCAGTTTTCCTGGGATCTGGAGTTGGTCTCCTCAGCTGAGGGGCCACTAAGACAGACTGTGTGTCTGTGTGTGGCAGGAAGCTGGGTCCTCGGGCACTCTGCTGCAGGGACTCCCTGCTCCACCCGGACAAGGAGTCCCACACCATGTGCTCCACTGAATACCTGTACTGTCGTGGTCAGCTGTGCCCACACTGTAACTGAGTGGTCGTTAGTCCGCGTGGTGCATGTGGTGCCTTGTTAGTGCTAGCCTAAGGCCACACTTGCACGTGACAGTCCCATGGGGTTGGGAATGTGGCCAGTCAAGACAAACCACTGAAATGGTTTGTAGAACAGAGCCTCTTCTAATGCCTCTTGCCAAACTCCAGAAAGCTCAGAGACAGCACCTGGTAAATTCCTGTGGGCCCCCCGCCCCATGCCCTGCATACAGTAGGCACTCGGCAAAGGCTTCGTGAACGGCAGGGCCCGAAGGACCATCAGGGAGACCCAGACCAGCGTTTCTCGAGTGAGTGACCTGGGAAGAGCGACATGCTAGGTCCCCTCCCCAGAGGCTGACAGCACCTGCTGACATGTTCCAGGGACTCAGCTGTCTTAAGCTAGAGAACTTTGTTTTCCTGCTGCTTCTGCAACATAGCTGCCCACGTACCACTTTCGTGTGAGCTGCTTAATCACTTTGAGTCTGAGAAATGGGAAATGCTGATCTAGTGGAACCCCATCCTGCTGCAAAAGGTGAAATGGGCCCAGAGAAAGCCATCAGCTTGCCCAAAGTCCCACAGCACATTGCTGAGGGATTCGAGACCAGCACTCAGGTCCCCCAACTCTCGGCTCAGAGATTTTTCCCACTGACGGCAGCGTGGGCTGGACCGGACAGCGCTGTCGGGCAACTCTCCAGACCACGCAGGGCATAAGCATCCCTTCGCATGACCTAGAAAGAATGAGCTGGCTTAACAAATCAACCAGATTCATCCAAATGACACCAGGTGATGTTTCACCTTCTTGGGGGCCTTTGGAACCCTGCTTCAACGCCTGCACTAATTACCTAAGGTCTCATGCTTTCTCCCAAGCTGCCATAGGTCCTTGGCTTGGCAATCCTGGTAGCAGCTTCCTGAGGCTATGAGCTGTCTCCATACCACTGAAGTTCTTTTAAAACTATCACTCGTCTAGACGTCCCCTTGCCAATGAGGATTTGTTTCCTTGCACCTCGGTGCTGGGCAGGGCAGCCAGGCCTTGCGGAGATCAGCGTTTTGCTTGTGTGTCCAAAGGGCTTCAGGGCTGCAGCTTCTGCCCTGGGTGGGATCTGACAAGGCTTTTCACACCTCCGGGAGGTCCCGAGCAAGACAACCTAGAGCCCTTACCCCCTAGGTGGCACTGGCCTTGAGCTGACATTGCAGCCTGGCATCTGCTCCTCCCGGGGTCGTCAGGGCCATGTATCCAGACCCTCCTGGCCAAGTTCCTCCCCAGGCCTAAGTATGAAGCTAAGGCCATTGGTGGCGCAGTCCTGGGGTCCCAGGTAAGACCTGTCTCTGAGAGCTGGTGTGCAGGAGGGCCCTCCTGGGGAATCTGCAGCATCGCAGGAGGCAGGCAAGGTGGGGTGAGGTACGAAGGGCTGTGGGCAGGCACCTAGGAGCGGGGTGCTTTCCTCCCTTTGTATCTGGGCATCCCGTGAGAGGACTCCCTCCTCCTTACCTCGCCGAAGACTGAGCCCCAAGACCCCATTGTTCCCTCTGATGGGCTGAGCCCTCAAGGTCCCCTGAAGAGGGAAATCCGGGGGGCTATAGGCCAGAGCCATGGGGACCACTCCTGGGAGAGCGATTTAATGAGAGAACAAGGCCTCAGAGAGAGGGGAGTTCCAGGTGTTTAGAAGCAGCCTGGCTCCCAGACTGGTGGGATTCCTACCTCCAGGAGAGTGGGAGGTTTGACGTGACCACCAGGGGATCTGAGCTGGGGCACAGTGGTCCCCATGCAGACATCACACAGCTGGCCCGAGGAGAGGAAGCCCCCATGGCTCCTGCTTTGAAACTTCAAGATTCTCTCATTTCACCAAACAAATCACTCCTCCTAGCTGAGCTGCCATCCCCAATACCCTGCCATCAAGCATGGTTCTCAGTTGCAAAAACGTCTACCCTCTCCCACTGTACGGTGTGGCTAGAGAAGGTCCTCAGTATCCCAGAATGCAGCAGACATGGAGGTGCCTCTCTAGTCAGCCCCGCAGCACAAGTGAGTAGAGTTCGTTTTACTCAATTCCTTCAAGTCAGTAAATTATTTAAGGTATCATCTGGTTCTTCATTCACTTCTGTGACCACGTCTATTTTTGGGGGGCTATTTTTGTACAGGCCACAGCTTAATGCCTAACACTTTGGCTTAGAGAGGAAGCCACAAATGATCCCCAAACCAATGCTGAGTGCACTAAGGAAACTTCCCAGCCAAAGCAAAAGGCTTCCGGGGGACTCGTGTGCGAGGCACTGGGAAGGCTGGCTCCCAGTTGATGTGTAAGAGGAATGAGGGGGGGGGTCTTAGACTGTCCCTGTGGAAATAAGAGTCTTGTCCCATGATGCAACAGGGGTGGTGGCCCTGTGCCTCAATGCAATCTAATAGTTCTAGTGACTTGTAGCCACTGGCTTTTCCCACCTGCCATTTTAGTTGAGGGGGGTTTTTTGTTTCTACTCCATGCCCCCTTGTCTTCTTGCAGAGAGAACTCAAGCTTTAATTCTGTTTTCTCCTGCCACCCAGGAGTAACAGAAGGCCAGGACTTCCTGGGTGTCCTGGGCAGGAAAGGAAACCTTTGAACCATCTAGAGATCTAGTCTAACTCTCCTCTCACCTTCCTGTTTTAGAGATGAGGAAACTGAGACCCAGACAGGAGCCAGAGGCTGGCCTAAAGTTTCAGAGCCAGGTGGTAGCAAAGTTGGGATTAAACTCAGGCCCCCAGTTGTCAGTCCAGGGCTCTTTCTAGAAACCAATATATTGGCTATAGCTTCAAAAGTCCTTCCCTCCCCCTTGGCGCTGACATGGCCCGTCCCTCTCTTCTCCCATCCCAGCCTCCCCTCCCCCCACTACACATAATTGGGGTTATAGCAGAGCATATTGAACTCGAGGTTCTCGTCCCAGTGCCGCAGGAGCACGAAGAGCTGGCGGGCAGCAGCCTTCAGCGTGTCCTGAGTGCGACCCTCAGGCACCTCCTGCTGCTCCAGCCACGAGTTGGCCTTGGCGGCCACCAGCTCCCACTCAATGAAGTAGGAGGCCGAGCTGTGCTCCAGCCACGCCAGCCCCACCACGGTGGCCCACAGCTTTCCTGCGTGCTCCACCAGCGCCCCGGGCTCCAAGCCTGGCTTGCTCTCGTTGGGCGGCTCTTGGGGAAAACTGTCACAGGAGGCATGCCGAGGCGAGGGGCTTGTGCACAGCTGGGGACTCGGGGTCTGGCGGGTGGTGACAGACACTCGGTGGCAGGTGAAAGGTGAGGTCCACTTGAGCTTCTCCATGGGGATGTGGATGGCCTCACAGAAGGCTTGGTTGAGCAGGAAGGCTCCAGAGGCCAGCTGCAGAGATACCTGTGTATGGGGAAGCCCCTTAGTGGGCCTCAAACGTTTCAGCCTTGGAGCTCCAGGCCATGCAGAAGTCCCATCTCCTCCCACCTCACTGTGCCTGCCTGGGAAACTTTCGGGACAGCCAGACTCACGGAGGAGCACCCTTTTTCCAAGACAGCATCAAGGTGGTCAGACTCCAAGTCCAACTCGACATTCTTACCCTAGCCTGCCCTCGTCCTGGGTGGGAGTGCCCCGCCCAGCCCCTGGGGCTGTCACTGCCATCCAGACCCTGGGCAGACCTCCTCTCCGTTCTCACTGCACATCAGTCATTCTGCAGGCCCATCGGGGCTACTCTCCTAGTAGCTCTGTGTCCCACGGTGTGCCGCCCTGTAGTATCTATTCTGCTTCCTCTCCCCCCCCCCACCTGCTTCCTGCTCAGTCCATCTGTCCTGCACCTGGAGGGACTCGAAGGCACAGATCATGCACTTTCTGGAGACTCGGTTCAGTGGCTTCACTTTTTCTCTTAGAGTAGGTCCAAAATATGGTTAACGAAGCCCTGCACAACGTAGCCCTGCTTTGTCCTGTTCCCTCCCCAACGACATTCTCCAGCTGCCACACTCTCCCCTCTCTAGACCCTTGGCCGTGAACCCGCATCCTTTCAGCCTCGGCTCAGCCTTTACCTTCTATAGGAAGTCACGCTCAATTTCACCTACCCTGAACCATCTCAAACCTAGGTTAGGATGGGAACCAGCAGTTAGCGTAATGGCTATGTCGCTGGACTCCCACGTAGTCGACCGCGGTTCGTGTCCCGGACCCGGTGGCTTAAAACTCATGCTGGGCGTGTGTGCATGTGTGCCCAAGATCCCGAGAGGAGAATGGGGGTGAAGGGATTGCGGCATGGCCATCGCCCCTGGGGGGTGATTTCTCGTTTTCTGTCTCTCTGTCTCTCTCTGTCTGTCTGGCGAGCGCAAGCACCCTATAGTGAAAAAAACCTCTCCAAAAAAAAAAAAAAAACAAACCTAGATTAGGTGTCCATCCCCTCCCCCCCATACAAACTCTCCTAGGACAGTCCCAAGGATTGGAATTGCCTGGCTCCTTGCCTGGATATTAGACGCTTTAGCCCCGTGAGTGCGGGGACGACATTTGTCCAGTTCACAGTTGTCTCCCAGGGTCTAGCACTGAACCTGATGCAGCAGATTCGTGTCGAGTGTGTACAAGCATCGTCCTCTGCTGCCCTGGGTATTCGGAGGCGCAGAGTGACAGGACGCACCTGACTGCCATGAGGCTCAAACTGTGCCCCTCTTTCCAGCACTTCTGATCCCCAAGCCCCAAGGGACCCCAGATGTGGCAGGACCAGTGTCCCTTGTTCCTCGATTCTGAGAAGCCCACTCAAGACCTGGGCTCCTCACCTGCCACCTCACGCTGCAGTGTCTTCAGAGTCACTTGCTAAACATGGGCCTGTCCCTGGGGTGTAATTTTACTCGCTCGTGAGTCACTTCAAAGCTTATTTTTATGTACTGGAACACACACACACGTAGATGGCAGAGTAGGATGCAACCTCTCCGTGAATTTTCAAGGCGGAGACAGCAAACTGCGAAGAACTTTCGTGATGCTGGTGCTGGTTTATAGCAACGCCTCTGGGCCCCCAGGTGGAGGACACACACACAGGCTCCTTCGGCCCTCGGGTGGGAGGCTCGGAACTCGGGGAATTGAGCTCGAAGACCCAGGTCTTCTTCCCTTTGCAGCAGGGAAGGGAGAGCTCACAGGAAGGCCCTGCTGCTGGGTGGGCAGGATGGGAGGCTGAGGTCTGGGTGGGGGCACTCACCAGAGGCACGTAGTCGAAGCTCTGGCTCCCCAGGGCTGGTTCTGGAGCCTTGACCAGTGACTTGCCCAGGAAGCCCTTGGCTGCTCGAGTTAGCAGCCTGGACTTTTTGAGACTCAGCCTGTGAGGGGGGCAGTCCAGGGTCAACCCCACCCCACCCACCAGCCAGGCCCACCCAGCAGCCTCTGCCCCAAATCACCAGATAGGACAGTAGCAGTAGGACTCAAGCAGGTTAGTGTTCTTTAATGACTCTCTTTGGTTCAGCCTATTAGTTACAAGAGTCCTATGCAGCCCTCTCAGGAAGATGGGGGGACTTCAAAAAGTTTGTGAAAAAAATGAAATTAAAGTGCAAGTTTATTCTGGTGCAAAAATATTTGAAACCCATACATATATATATATATAGATAGATATATAGTAAAACATATTTCCTGAACTTTTTGAAGACCCCCCACATTTGCATTTGAAAAGAGACCACAGAAGCAGGAAGGGGGGGATTTTAGGCAGAGCGAGATACATAAGATAGCGGTCATTCTGGGCAGGAGAGCCTTCTTAGTGCCCATCTGAGTGTCAGGCTGGACCTGCCTCTGACCTTCCAAGCTGGGAACAATTGTAGGAAAGTGGGTGGCATTAGATTGGATCCTCATGGGTAATCCCACCTACCTGGAACCAAAGAGAGTCTCTGAGGGCTTCGTGGAAGAAAGGGTGTTGTTGGTAAGACTGTGTAGGGGACCTAGAAAATCACAGGAAGACAGAGTTGAAGCCTGAGAGATGACCTCCTCAGTTGCCCACTGGCCAGCTGGGGAAACAGAGACCTGGAGAGTGCCTGGGAGCAGCTGCGACTCTGTGTGCCTGGGGATCCGCGCTGAACGGGAGGTAGCAGGCCTGTGTCTCTCACTCTCTCTCTCTTAAATGATAGAAAACATGTACATGTGCTAGAGACAGAGAGACAGAGAGAGAGAGAGAAGCACCATACTGTGGTCCTCTTTCCTCAGCCCTCCAGCTCTTAGGCTCTTGGGCACCTGCATGCATGCCTGGTGTGTTTTCAGGCTGACCCGGGATCAGAACTCAAGATTGGCCATATGGCTTCCAGCACTGCACTCATCAGTACACTCCAGACTGTGCCACCTAGGCTGGGCCTCAGGGTTGCTTCTGACCCACTTGGTACGCAAAGGGGTGAAATATGTAAGGACCTGTGTAGGAAGCTGGCCTCCAAGTTTCTTTGGCAGGTGGCTCTGGCATCTTCTAGGTTACCTGTGACGGCAGTGACAGCCTCACATCCAACGCCCTCATTCCCAAATGGGGACACTGAGTGTTGGGCTCTAGGCAGACCGACGTGGTCAAATGGTTGCTCAGCTGGGATTGGGAGCCTGACTCCAGGCCCAGCGCTGTCCCCAACATGCTGCATGGCCTTGGGCAAATCATTTTACCTCTTCAGGCCTCAGCTGACCCATTTTTAAATTGGGGATAATCCCATTCACCTCGCACAGGGCTGTGTTGAGGAATCAGTGAGGCCCTGAGGACTTAGCTGGTGCTAAGGAGCTCTCCTGACCCAGGCCCAATCACTACGTCCATCCTAACTGAGAGGAGAGACGGTGCTGACTGCCCACTCACCTTCGGAAGCAGCGTGCCTCTCACGGCCGGGGCACGTGATCTGGCTGAAGGGCACAGTGAGATTCTCCTCACCTGCAACAGAGGGAGCCAGTGAGGCCCAACCTTTCCTGGCCCTCTTTTTCTCACCTCCCATTCAAGGCCCACACACTGGGGGAGCAAGGTCAGGGTCTCCATCCCTGCTGGGATGGGCCTTCGTCTCCCAAAGTTATAACCATGGCTCCATCATAAGGTCAGGCGTGGTCAGGCGCGCCTGGGCTTCAGTCTGACTCCCCTGTTCACTAGCTGCGGGGCCTTGGCAAAGTTACTTTGTAAATTCAGATGACAAACTGGTGCTCAGGATATTATTGTAGGGATTAAGTGAGGTAATACACAGATGGCGTTCAGTGCCTGGCTTCGTGCTAAATAAAGCCCTGAGCTATCAACACAGCAGGGAAGCAGGAGGTCAGGGACCTGGGGTGGGGGGGTACAGAGTTGGGGCGGGAGCAAGAGATGAGCATCTCCTCACAGAGAGCTTGCAAGTCGAGATGCCAGGGCCTGAATCAGGGCAACGAAAGGAAGGGATTTGTGATTCTGCGCTTTGGAGAAAGAAAAGGGTAGACTGGACATTTTCTGTAGCCTGGAAGCCCAGCTTGGCTCAGGAAGAGTGGGGTCTGTGGGTTTTGGAGGCCTAAGGGTCTAAGAAATTGGCAGAATTCCCTCATTCTGAAGAGCTCCTCGGTGTTTCTTATTTAACCCACCAATGCCCGTGGGCACCTTCTCGGACCTCAGATACGCACTTAAGGTCTGAGTGGCCAGGCCCTCTGATGAGGCCCCTTGTAGGGCAGATGGCAGGTCTTCCCCTGCACATGAGGGTGCTGAGGAAGGGGTTAGAACAAGTGCAGTCAGACTGTCTGTAGAGGGACAGAAAGCCACACACACATGCAGGACACTAATTACAGGCCATCCCGTAATTAGTGCAAGGTCACCAAAGGTTGAACTGTGGCTCTTCCAGGAGCCAAGCTCTGCAAGCACAGTGCACTCAGGTAAAGGCCGGAAGGGAGGTGCTGGGAATCCTGAAAGAAGCAGATGGTGGGACCCAAACAGATGGAAACGCCTCCTTGCTCTTCACTTTTTTCTTGTTTATTAGGTTTCCTGGCACTTGGCAGCTTGGGAGGACTCAGAGGCTGGAGGCACGAAGCAGACACTAGGGTCAGTGGACCTTGCAAGGAGAGAGGTGGGGGATACCGGCCATGCGGGCAGGGAGGCCCTGCTGCGCTTTGGCTCTGAGTGCTCTTGCGTGAATGGTGATGTGCATGTGCCATGCTGAGCCCCTCTGACCATCTTAGACCCAGAGCCAGGGAGGCTGGCCTTGCCCTGGCCCTGCCTAAGGGCCCGAAGCCACGACTGCATGAGGGTGTGGTGACATCAGGGGCCCAGGCGGCTCTTACTTAGGGTCTGACATTTGCCATCTCCTGCTGCTGAGCCTTCTCTGAGGATAGTCTGGGACCGTCTGAAGCCAGCAGGGGGGCTCCTCCACTGCCGGGCCAGGGCCCGGGAGCTGAGCGTCCGCAGTGCAGCACCTTCATGGAGGACAAGGACAGGGGTCAGTTGGGTGCAAATGTGAGTCCTTTGCCTCTTCTCCAAGGCTGGCAGGAGTGTCTGGCTTCACTCGTTCAATGATCCAACAGCAGGAAATATTGTACCGAGTACGACCATGAGCTTTGGAATCAGGAAGACGTGGGTTTGAGCCCCAGCTCCACTCTTACGTGCAGGACAGGGTGCTAACCGTTCTGAGCTGTAGTTTCCTTATACAGAAAAGGGGGACAATGATCCTTACCTCCCTGCGTAGATAGTAATGCTGAGATAATGATTATGAAGCAGTGATGTTCTCCTTTGCCGTCTCAGAAACCCTGTCCTAGTTCCCGCTTCCACAGGGCAGGCCCCTGGAGTCCCAGGGCATCACTTAAGGGGATAGATGCAAAAGAGACGAAGCTACAGTGCCCTAAAGTGTCTTTCAGAGAACCCCACTCTCAGAGAACACTCGTCTCTAAGGCGCACTTGACAATTAGAGGCCTACAGGGAAATAAGCTTCGGAGAAGCTGCGCGCTATAGTCCATTCTCTGCGCCTCTTGTAAACCAGCGTACGAAGAGCGCTGAGAAGTTCTGCAGTGAAAAAAGCTTTGAAGTTTTATCTAATTCAGTGGTTTTTAAGTGGACTTCCTAATCTGGTATTTCCTATTTTTGTGCTGGATGGCTATTCATAGGACACAAAACTAGGGTTCTAGTTTCTTGGAACACGCTTAAGGAAGTGCTGATCCAATTCTCAGGGGTTTGGGGACTTGGGCTAGGACACAAGCCAAGTCCTGGCTCTCCCGGCGGTGGCCACGGATGCTGGCAGGACGGCCAGAGACAGGAGAGATGTTCAGCAATGTGAATGACGGTGAGGACACAGCCTGGGTCTATGGCTGCTGGCCGGAGTTTAAAATGACAGCAGTGAAGGGCTGGGATGGGTGACCGGTCATTTTGGTACTACAGATAAGAACAGGGGGACAGGAGGACTGAGAAAACAAATTGTTTTCGAACACAATTCTGGAGGTCTGCTGGAAAAAGGAATCTGCTAAGGGCAGGGAAATGTAATTCAGAAAAGAAAAGAAATGAAAGTGATTTGGGGCTAACAGGTGGTGTGGTGGTTAAGGTGCTGGACTCCTACACTGCAGATCATGGTTGGAGTCCCAGACTCGGCAACTTGAAAATCACATTAGTGTGTGTGTGTGTGTGTGTGTGTGTGTGTGTGCCCAAAATCCTGAGAGGAGAATGGAGAAGGGATTGCAGCATGGCCATTCCCCCTTGGGAGGTGATTTCTTACCTTCTTTGTCTCTGTTTCTCTCTGGCAAACACACAGACCCTATGACAAAAACTTTTAAAAAGAAAAAAAAAAGGAATGCTCCAAGAGAGATCCTTTTCTCACCCATCAGACTGGCAGATTTTAGAAAGAGAAACAATATTCAGTGTTGAGAGGACAGACATAGGACTAACCTTTGGCCAGGCGGCCCATCCGGTAACACCCGTCAGTTACACAGGGGTGCACATTTGATACTGCAATCTTAGCTCTAAAAGTTAACCTCGAGGAAACAATCACACAGGTGCACAAAAGACCTTGGTAACCTAATTTACAACAACCACGTGGGGAATAAGCTAACGGTCTAAATAGGTCGAAAAGGATATAATCGATCTTCAGAGGCAGTAGGGAGGAGTGGGGTAACACAGACAAGGGAGGCAGCTCACCGGAGTTCAAAGCCTGGCTCTGCCAGTCACTGCTGTGTGACCTCAGAAAAATGACCTTTCCCCTTGGCCTCTGCTCCCCCAGCTGTAAAATGGGGTAATAAAAGCACTGACTTCACAGAGTTGCTCTGAAGCTTAAATGATTTAAAATATATACGAGTGCTTCAGAGCGCCGTCTGTGCCGGATGACTATGGGCGCTCCCGCGGACTACGCTGCAGCTGTGAAGGTGAGCGTATAGGCTCGCCTCCGTGGACAGTGATTCTCCACACTGACACTTTGTAAAACAGGTTAGTACGATCTGATTCATGTCAACTTATCTGTCCTTCGACTTCTCTACCTGTAGATAGCCAAAGAGAGGATGAGCATATCAAGGAGAAAACTAGTACCCTCTTCTGGATGACCCTCAGTCCTGGTCATTTCTACTTTCCCTCCCCTCTCCTCTCCTGCCCTCCCCTCCCCTCCCCTTCCTTCCTCCCTTTCTCTCTCTCTTTCTTTCACACCAGGCAGCACACATGCATAAAGAGAGGAAGAGAAAAAGTACCCCACAATGAGTGCTGGTCATGCTGCAATTCTTTCCCTCCATTTCTCCATCCTGTCAGGGTCCTGAGCACAGAATTTCAGACTGTGGTCAGCCATGCGGGGGTCTGTATTCTTTGGCATGGTGCTTAGGTGTTGTACCATGGGACTGGCCCAGTTCCACTCATTTTATTTATTTTTTTTTTTGAGAGGTTTTTGCTATAGGGCGCATGCGCTTGCCAGACAGAGAGAGATAGAGAGACAGAAAGCGAGTAATCATCCCCCCAGGAGGGATGGCCACACCGCAATCCCTTCTCCTTCCTTCTCCTCTCGTTATATTGGGCATGCGCACGCATGCGCCCGGTGTGTTTTAAGTCACCGGGTCCAGGATGCGAACCGTGGTCGACTACGTGGGAGTCCAGCGACATAGCCATTACTCTAACTGCTGGTCCCCACACTCATTTTTATTTATTTTATATCGTTCTCTTTTTTAAAGATTTATTTATTTAGTTTTTATTTTAAATTTTGTTATAGGGCACGCATGCTCATCAGAGAGAGAGAGAGAGAGAAGGAGAGAGAGAAAGAGAGAGAGAAAGTGAGAAAGCAAGCTGCCAGGTTTGGGATGTGAGCCATGTGAGAGTCCAACGCTTTAACCACCATGCCACCTGCTGGCCCTAGTTTATATCTTTCTAGATTTTGGAATTCTCTACAATGAACATACATCGTTTTCCCAGCTGGAAAAATACAATGAAATCATTTTTATTTTGGGGGGAAAAGTGTGAGGTGGTCTCCTAGCCTTCAGTGGAGTAGCGGGATGGAGCCCCATGCACTCTTACCCCAAGGGAGCCAAACCATCTGTTGGGGGCCTTTCTGAGTCTTGGCCCTGCCAGGCACCCCTCCCTGGGAGTCTGTGCTCCTCGGTATCTCAGCCCTCTTCCCCAGTGCACAGGAGGGCCACTTGGCCCTCAGGGTGCCCTGGCCACCTGGCAGCCCCCCACCTTACCGGAGTTGGGGTACTCCACCACAGTAGGCAGGTATTGGCTCTTGCTCACGTCCACAGGCACGAAGGCCGTGTATTTGCTGACGACGTTGCAAGCCTTGCTGGTGTGCACGGCATTCACCTGGTAGCGGCGGTTAAACCCTACAGAGAAATAAGCTGGGGTCGCTGTTTGGACTCAGAAAGTCCTTCCCGACGTGGAAGATCTGGAAGCTAAAAGGAGGAGTAGGCCAGTGGGCCCCATCTTTGGGATTAAACAAGTCCTTAACATCAAAGGATTGCCTGGCCCAGTCATAGTGGCACAGGTGATGGGGCACTGCTGAGCAAAACAGGAGCCATGTGGGGAGGCCTGGGGTCATCCCGAGGATGCAAGCTGCATCTATGGATGAGCCCCTGATCCCAGCTGGCCAGAAGCCTTAGGGGAGGGTTGCGGCATGGTGAGACACTGCTGGAAGTCTCTCTCTCTCTCTGTCTTATTAAATAAATAAATACAAAAACAAAGCCAACTTGCTAAGTAAAGACATTTAGAAAAACCTCATCAATGTTTCATAAAATAATGGATACTTAATTGTGAAAATGCAAGACATTATATAAGCGTCTTCCCTTACATAATGCTAGTGTTATTTTAAAACTGTTCTCTATGTTGTCTGTATTCTATATTTTAATTCTGTAAGAGTCTAATTGGGAGCTTTGCTGCAGGACTTCATAGGACCCCTGACCAGTGGGCGAGGGCCACTTATCTGGCCCATTTATTTGCTGTGAAGATTGAAAAGCAGAGCAGGAGAGTGGCTAGCACAGGGTCACACAGCGAGTTAGTGAGGGCTGAGTCAGGACCCAGGATGGTCTGGCCCCACAGCCAAGCTCTATCCACTGGACTGGTCCCCATAGCTTCTCCCTCCAGAAGGCTTTGTGGGGGGACCATGGAAAGCTCTTCACAAACTGTGAGGTGTTCATGGGAAGGAAATACATATATGCATATAATACGGAAGCACAAATAAAATACGAACAATATAATATTACACACGCAAAGGACAATCCTTTGGCAAAAACGGTGTAAAATGTTCTCTATATCTTTATCTTTCCTCAAGTGTGCCCCATCAAGAACCCACGAGTCACTTTCTCAGGGAAGTCTGCTTCAATCCTGGACTAAATTAGCTTTTCCACCAGCCCTGTTACACAATCTTGTGGGCCCCTGTAGTTCTTCTTAATAGCACTTAGGACAAATGAACTCAATTAATTATTTGTGTAATTATTTGATTAATGCCAGCTTCCCTGCTCGTCTGAGTCAAGCACTGGTGGGTAAAGGATGGAGATGGCTTTGTTCACTGCATCTGCAAGGCCTTGGCTGAGCCTGGCCCCCACAATAAGTAAGTGGCGTTGGCGAGGGCGGACACGGTCCCCCCATGGGTTCTGTGGGCAAGGTGTGTCTCAGAGGAGCGCTGCAGGGGGAAATAGGGCTGTCGCCATTGTTCTGTCTCCGGAGCCCGGCAGGGAGCGCTGCTGGGAAGAAGCCTTGGGAAGCTCAGGGGTGAGGGAAGGAGGAGAAGCGAGGTCCGCAGGGGAGGGGAAGGGGCGAAAGAGAAGGGGACGGCTCACCGAGTGGGACTGGGAGGAGTGGAGGAGCCCAGGGCTGAGCGAGAGGGACACCTGGAGGCAGGGGGATGCGGGCGGGCTGAAGAGGGCTTTGTGTTTGCGTGTCTGTGTGTGGGGGGTGGGGGTGGGGGCAGGGAGGGGAGGCGCCTGGAGACAGAGGTGGGAGTGGGGTAGAAGAGAGAGCAAAGGGAGAGGGAAGGGGCTGAGCTGGGGAGGAGAGCTGATTGTTGGGCCGGGAAGGAACAAGCCCCAATCTTTAGACGAATAGGGGAGGGCGGGAGGCATAGGGTAGGTCTGTGAGCAGGGGTGGGGTCTGGAGGCCCAGAGGAGGGCGGGTCTGGAGGAGAGGAGGGGTGGGGCACTGGGCGGGGCTATGAGGAGAGAATAAGAGATGAGGGTTTACTGGAGTAGTTGTGGGGCGGGGCCTGGGGGCCCGGGGGAGGAGGGTATCTGCGGAAAGACGGGGCGCTGGGCGGGGCTGCGAGGAGGGGCTGCCCGCTGCTTACAGAGACGCTCACCCTGCTCGATCTCGCCCTCCATCTCCGCCAGCTGCTCGAAGTCGCGGATGATGGCGCGGGCCGCCAGGTGGTGGAAGGTCTCACTCCACAGGTCGGCGTCGCGCGCGCTGTCCCGCTCCGGGCCCGGCGGCCCCAGCTCGAAGCTCACCTCCCACTGCAAGCGTTTGCTGTCGCGTAGGCCTTTGACTAGGGCCTTGCCCAGCACAGGGCCTGGGGTGGAGGGCCTGCTGGGACTGGCCCGCTCCTCAACCAAGGGTTCCAAGTCCGAGGAAGTCTCTGTCTCAAAGGCAGAAGGGTGGTGGGACGGCTCTGCGGGTGGGGGGACAAGAGGACCCAACGCTTAGCAGGGAAATAGAAGGCCGCTCCATAGGGGACATCATCCCTCCCCAGGAACAGACAACTTTCCTAGGACAGCCGGGCTGGCATGGAGCCAGTACCGAGGGAGGGGGCCAGATAGGGTGTGGCGCCTGGCAGAGAGAATGGAGCTGCAGCAGCAGGCCACCCAAGGGCCAGGTGGATTAGGGAAGCCTTGGATTGGTGAGATCCTCTGGGAGGAGAGGGCAGCCACAGACCCTCAAGGGCACAGCCACAGGCACCTCTGGGCGCTCCTCCCTGTCTCCAGTCAGGTCCTGGATCCTGCAGATACTTACCCAGGTCCCCAGGGCTGCGGCTGTCTAAGGCAGGCTTCAGGTGGAACCCAGAACCCACTTCTCTCATGGGGCTCCCGGTCCTGGGATCCTGGCTGGAGGGCAGGAAGGGCTGGCAGTCTTGGGGCAGCAGAGAGGGTCTGCGGGCTCCTGGGCCGTGGAGTTTGGGGCCCTGGTTCAGGTCCTGGCCACTGTTCCGCAAGGGCTGGGGATGCAAGAGGGGAAGGAGGAGGCAGAGTGAAGCGGGCCTGTGCTTCCTTCTGGCCCCAGCCCCCAGCCAGGGCTCTTGCTCTGGGTACAGCTCCTGGGCGCTGTCCCTTCAGTACCCAGGGCCATAGGACTGCGTCTCCACTACCCGGGAGAAACATCAGTAAGAATACTCTGGAATCATGGATAAACGCCAAACCACCAGAAACCATGGAGAATCACACACCATGGATAATTCTAAATCCACTTTTTTTGTCATGAAGTTATAAACTTTTTTAGCGTGTGGTTAAAATTATCAACCTTTTCCCTTATGTCTTCCCATATGTCATGCTTTAAAGGTCTTTCCCACTCAAAAAATATTCCAGGATTTTGCGATTTCATTTTTGTTTGTTTGTGTGTTTAAATCTTTGATTCACATGGACTTTGTTTTGGTGTAAGGAGGTAGGAACCAGCTTTTCCTCTATTCCCCAAATGGTACAAATCTCAATACTATTTATTGAATATAGTTTATTCATTGAGTCCCTACAGTCTGTCAATTCTCCACCCCTCTCCTGACAAAGCTTTCATGCACATTTGGTTTTATTTATGGACTTTCTGTTCTGTTTTGTTGATTCCATGAATCTATTTTTGCGCTGGTACACACAAACATCAAGAGGCAAGAGAAAGCTGGGAAATATATTTGCAACATGCGTGACAAAGATCATTTTCAAGAAAATGCTCTTATAAATCACTGGGGGGAAGAGATGAAATGAAATGCAGTTCACCCTCCATGTTATGTCCACATCTGCTAATCCAGCCAACTGTGGCTCAGAAACACTACGTAGTTGCTGACGTGTACTATGTGTTAGACCTCCGAGGGCGGTGTCTGCATTGAACATATTCAGATTTTTTTCTTGCCATTATTCCCTAAACCAGAGGTCTCCAACTTTTTGGCACCAGGGACAGGTTTTGTGGAAGACAGGTTTTTCACGGATGGGGGAGACGGTGGTTTATGAGACCTCGCATGTACAGTGCCATCGCTGATCTGCCAGGAGGCAGAGCTCAGGCAGTTATGGGAGCAAGGGGGAGCAGCTGTAAATGCAGAGTAAGCTTCCCTCAGCTGCCACTCACCTCCTACTGTGCTGCCTGGTTCCTAACAGGTCATGAACCAGTACTGGCCCCAGGGTTTCAGGCCCTTGCCCTAAACACTGTAGCAATGATTTGCATTGCATTGGGTATTAAAAAGTAATCTGTAGATGATTTAAAGTATATGGGGAAATATGCATAGGTTATATGCAAATACAATGCCATTAAAATGAATATTAAAATATTTAAAAAATAATTATTTAATTTTGTTTATTATTATTTTAAAATTTGCTATAGGATATGTGTGCTCACTGGTAGGGGGAGGGGAAGAAAGTGAGAAAGCAAGGTGCCAGGTCCAGGACTCAAACCATGGTTGGCCGTGTGGGAGTCCAGCTCCTTAATCACCCCATCATCTGCTGGCCCCAACTAAAATGTTTTTAATATTTATTAAACTATATATATGTATATGTGTGTGTGTGTGTGTGTGTATTTTAGAGTTAAATTTTTTCTATAGAGCACGTGTGCTCACTGGAGAGACAGACAGACAGCAAGAAATCACCCCCCAGGGAAGATGGCCACACTGCAATCCCTTCTCCTCCATTCTCCTCTTGGGATCTTTGGTGCACACACACGCGCACACCCAGCGTGAAGTTTAAGCCACCAGGTCCAGGACTTGAACTGCAGTCGACTATGCGGGAGTCCAGTGATGTAACCACTATGCCATCTGCCGGTCCCGATATATTTATTCATTTTTTAAAGGCAGTGTCTCTCCATGCTGCAATCCTCCTGCCTCAGTCTCCCAGCTAGGGCTACAGGCATGTGCCAGTGCTCTGGCTTTTTTTCAGACAGGGTCTTTCTTTGTTGCTCAGACCAGCTTTGAGCTCATGATACTCCTACCTGAGCCTCCCCACATTGCTGGAATTGCTGCCACTGCACCTGGGTGTTATGCTGGACTGGGAATTGAACCTGGGCCTCCTATGTGGCTCTGGCCTGTGAAGCATAGCATCTTAGCAGTGCCTGCCATTGTGGCTGGGCCTGCAACATGTTTTTTAATAATGGACTTGAGCATCCTCAGTGGGAACCAGTCCCTGGGGATATTGAGGGCCTGTGATAGCTTAAAGGCATTTAAGGCAGTTTATAGCAAAAGTACCCAATAAACCCATGAGACAATGCGCAGTCTCACCAAAAATTAGAGCAATGTAAATTAAAATGAGTTGCAATTTCTTTTTTTCTCTCTTGCAGCTTGGCAAATATTTAAGTCTTCGACATACCCAGTATGGTCAAGAGAGATACAGGGTCTCTCGTGGACTGCTGGTGGGAGTGTAAACTGGCACCCACTTGTGAGAGAACAACTGAATAAGGTGCTATCGAGCAACAATTGAGAAGCATGAGCCTCTTCCACCCAGCAGTTCCACTCGTAGGAATTCAATCCCATGGAAAAAGTCAAAGGTGCAAAGATCTATGTGCAGGCATTGTACATTTGTTACAACACCTTTCGTAAACGTCTGAGTCTGGGAAGGAAGTGTTTATCAGCAGAAGTTGGCGAGTTGTGGACATTCATGCCACTGCATGATTCATTCATGATCACCGCATAACACTGAAAAGGAAGAGGTGGTTTCTTCATACCATACCAACATCTGAGAAGATGTTCAAAGATTAAACTTAGTTTTGAAAAGTCAACTGTAACTGCTCTATATCTTTTTAAAAAAATATTTCTTTAATTTGATTTATTATTATATTATTTAATTTGCTACAGAGCACGCTCTCTCATGAGAGAGAGAGAGCAAGCTGTCAGGTCCAGGACTCAAACCGTGTTGGGCCATGTAGGAGTCCAGTGCCTTCACCACCACGCCACCTGCTGGCCCCACAGTTGTTCTGCATCTTCATGGTGGTGATGATTACATGACTATAAGCACTCGTCAAATCTCACGGAACTACTCACCGAAAAGAGTGATTTAACTGCATATTTAAAAAAGTGAATTAAGGCGGCATGGAGGTTAAGGTGCTGGATCCCACATGGCAGATTGCATGGTTTAAGTCCTGGACACGGTGTCTTAAAAATCATGCTGGACACGTGTGTGTGTACCCAAAATCCCAAGAAGAGACTGGAGGAGGAGGGACTGGCTATACCCCTTAAAGGATGACTTCTCATTATCCCTATCTCGCTTTGTGTCTCTCTGGTGAGTACATGTACCCTATAGCAAAATTAAAAAGAAAATGAATGAAAAAGATAGTTAAAAAGTCAGTTGGGGAACAATTTATGCATGTGATTAGTAAAAATATGTATGTCTGTTGTGTACGTGTGTGTGTGTGTGTGTGTGTGTGTGTGTGTAGTATTTCTAGAAGGAAACACTGAAAGCCAGGTGGGTCTGGGCGCAGGGAAGAGGGATTCGTATGTGTACTTTATACTTGTCCAAACTGTTTGAGTGTTTTTGTTGCAAACTCTGAGTATGTATTACTTGTGTAATTGAAGAATATTTCATTAAAAATTACTTTTGAGCCTCTGAGACCACAGACCTCCTCTAGTTAGGGGAGGAAATACAGAAGTCAGGACACTGGTGTAACAGAATGTTTTAGATCACCAGACCTAAGCCCCGGTGTGTGGGGGGTGCTTTTCATTCCTATCAAGTATATGTTTGGGGCCTCCTACCTTTCCATCTGCTCTGGGCCAGAGGGATGGTGGGAGGGTGGGGGAAGAAAAGGGGACTGGTCACTGTCAGGATGGCCTTGGTGGGAGCTGGTACCCAACCAGGGAGGCTAGATCCCAGGGACTCCCCCTCCTTACCCAATTGAAGACAAGGAATCCCTCCACCCCTATGTTATCATCACCCACTGGGTCAGAGACAAAGCAGCTGCTATGGTTTCCATGGCAACAGATGAGTCTCAGACCTAGCCCTTCACCCGGGTCTAGCCCTTCACCCGGGTCTAGCCCTTCGCGGGCAGGTGTGTGAGCGTGCACATGTGTTGGGAAGGTCAGACTGGGGAAGAAGGCAGGCGGGGGAGAAGAGGTGAGCGAGGAGGGCCAGACCAGCAGGAGAGCAGTGAAGGGAGCCACCGTGCCCAGAGCACTCAGCAAGGAGAGCTGCTGATAGAGGACGCCCGCTGGCGCCAGGCACTGGCCGGCCAGGCACTTTCCCTCCTACCCGCCAGTGCCAGGGTCAGTCCTTGCCTTGGCGCTGGCCCTGGGAAAGACCTTCATGGAGAGGAGCTCAGTCATCCACAACACCGATTCTGCCCGTTTCACGGGTGATGAGGGTCGGGACGCAGGTTAAGGAACATTTAAGGAACACGGTCCGCCCGACTCCGAGGCCAGTGCCTCCCAATTGCATCAGGTGACTCCTGGCTACACACAGGGAGGGGCCCCAAAGGACAAGGTGGTAGGGTCCCCATCCTTGAGGAGTGTCAGTGGGAAGGGACATGGAGAGAGTGAACAGACACACAGTGACTGATCTACATAAAGCCCATCCTTAAGAAATGAGCCAAGCCACAATGTGGCTTAGGACAGTGTTCCCAACCCCCCCCCCCCCCCCAGCCCCCCCCCCCCCCCATAGGGGACGGTGTCAGCAGACATTATGCTTGTCCTGACTGGGGCAGTGGTGTTGCTGGCCTCCAGTGCAGGGAAGCCCGGGTGCTGTGAAACACCCTACACAGCGCAGCTCAGCTCCCCACAGCGATGGGTGGTCGTGTGTGTTTGCGGAGTGTAGAAACCTTGCTCCAGCAGGAGCGTGGGTGACATTGTCTCTCAGATCCGCTGTACCCTGGGGCATGTACAACCCCTGGGGTTTGCAGCAGGCGCAGTGTGTTGGAGGGAGAAGCAAGGGCTTTGGAGGCAGGGAGTCCTGGGTTGCAGTGTGCTTGCTAGTGTGTGACCCTGAATGTCACTTTGCCTCCCTGCCCCTTCATTTCCACGTCTGTGCAGAGTTGGGGTGACTGCCTCTACCAGGCATGCTGTAAAATGGGAGAGTAGGTGCAGATGCTCCTTGACAACCACCAGCAGGGAACGGGTGACTTCACTGACCAGTGGGGGGTGTCACTGGGGACAGGTTCAGAAAAGGAAGGAAGGAGTGACTCTCTTCACAGCAAAAGTTGTCCCAAGCTCTGTCTTATAATCAAAATAGGAGATTCAGCTCTCTATCACCCTCGGCCTCCCCCAGCTCCTCCCAACCTGCCCTGCTGGGGTACCTGCAGATCGATCCGCCACTGCTGGGTATCTGGGCTGGTATGGTTGGTGAGGTGCTGCAGCTTGGCTTTCCGCAGTGGGTACCTTCTGGCAGCCACGGTGGGGTCACTGGCAGTGGTGGCCCTGGGGCAGGGCTTGTGGTTGGTGATGTGGTTGGTGCTGTATGCCCTCCGTCGCTGGGAGAGGTCCAGACCTGGACAGGGTTAGTGAGAGGAACCGTCGGGGAGGAGCACAGTGGGGGAGGAGAGGGGGCTGTGTGTCCCTTTCCTGCATGAAGACGTCCTGCGCTTTCCACTGCTCGCCTACTGAAATGCAGGCAGGCGCCTCGCGTGGCCCCTGAAGCCTTTCCTGATCTGGTCTCCACCTGTCCTCCCAGCTGCCCTCATTCTGCTCCTATTCAAAGGCACTGTATGCTCCAGACTAACGTGATGAGTAGCTAATCGTGTACGTGTTCTAAGTCACGCCCGCACACCTTTGCTCCGGCCGTATCTGCGGTCTGGAACTTCTCTCCCTCCCACTCCTAAGGACCAGCCCCAAGGCCTTTCTTTCTGTAGCAGACAGGCTCTTCTCTCCCTGGGACCCCCAGTTTGGTCAACGTTCCCATGGCCCCCGTTGCTCTGCTTTCTATCAGCTTAAGGCCAATCACATCTAGATGGCGTGCCCCTGAGGGGCGGGTGCCATGTGTGTCACCTTTGCTTCCCACACTGCACTCAGGACCACCTGATGGAAGCTAAGACTGTAAAGAGGTTTTAGAATCACGCAGGCCTAGCCTTTTTCTCTGTGCTCTGCCTCTTCCAAGTTCCGTGAGCTTAGCCAGGTTCCTTACGTCCCCTGGCAATTTCCTCACGTGTACAGTCCTGGCTCTGTGGCTGCTAACCAGTCAGCAAGACTGTTGCTACCTAGTGCTTAGGTGTAGCATGCTCAGAACACGGCAGCTATCACTGTGGCCCCCTGCGGAAAGAAGCTGGCAGAACGAGCAGAAGGCTAACCGGGAGTGGTGGGGGCATCTCCACTGGACAGCTGGGCCTCTTTGACTGGCCCCGGGTTGAAGGGTGCCCCCACGCTCTTGGCACAGTCTCCGCTGCCTGGGCCGGGTCCCTCCTCCTGAGAGTGGTAGAAGACAGAGCTGCCAGACTCCTGGGAGCGCAGCATGCTGTACCGCCGCCTCTTGTCCTGGAGGGAGGGAGAGGACAGAGCTGGGAATGGGCTTAAGCAGGGTGCAAGCAGGGTGGTGGGGGCTTCCTTTCTAAAGGACCTGCATAAGGGGCCAGCAGGTGGCGTAGTGGTTAAGGCACTGGACTCCCACATGGTCAACTGTGGCTCAAGTCTGGACCTGGTGGCTTGCTTTCTCACTTTCTTTCTCTGTCTCTGTTTTTCTCTGGTGAGTGCATGCACTCTGTAGCAAATTGAATAATAATAATAATGGTAAATAAAATTCAATAAAAATAATTCTTTTAAAAAAAGACAAAAAAAAAAAAAAAGAACCAGAAAAGGGGGCAGCAGGGGGAATAGTGGTTAAGGCACTGGACTCCCATATGGTCAACCATGGTTCAAGTCCTGGACCTGGTGGCTTAAAAGTTGTGCTTGTAGCAGGCGCAAAATCCTAGGAGGAAACAGAGGAGAAGCAATTAAGGTGTGGCTACCGAATCCTGGGGGATGATTTCTCACTCTCCCTCTCACTGTCTCTCTCTTCTCTCTCCTCTCTGGCGAGTACGTGTGCCCTTTGGCAAAAAAATCTTTAAAAAATTTTAAGGTAAAGCTTTTTCTTGACTCTGAAATCCTCCTTTATCTTGATAATAATCCCCTCCCCTTCCTCCTGTCCCATCTAGGCAAGCAGGAAGGGCAGGCCAGAAGACTGAGTCCGCCATGAGAGTGGAGATCGAGTGATTTCAGAGATGAGAGTGATGAAGACGTTCTGCTGAGAATCTACCCTGGTAGAGCCCCTGGATCCTTCTCTCTGTCGCTGTCTTTTCATTTTTTTTTTTAAATAAAAAAAAAATTAAGGTTAAGTTTTTTCTTGGCTCTAAAATCCTCCTTTATCTTGGTTATAATCCCCTCCCCTTTTCCTTTCCCATCTAGGCAAACAGAAAGGGCAGGCCAGAAGAAGACTGAGGTGCCATGAGAGCGGAGATCTGGTGCACACCGTGTGGTTTTCATATTTTGTTTTTTAAAATTAACAAATAAAAAAATTTTGTTTGTCTTTTCCATTTTTCTTTCTCTCTCTCTCTCTCTCTCTCTCTCTCTTTTTTCCCTTCTTCTTTTACCTCATCACTTTGCTGCTCAGCCTCCACCCACCGAGTGTCTAGACAGGTCTAAGTGAAA